GTTGACCCCAGATTCCTGGCTTGGTAAGAAGTGCTATGGCCTGAGATGGGACAGAAAGGGCCGTAAGAGCCTATGGCAAATATGTTTCCACCATAGAGAGCCGTTAAAACCTATGGGGTATACCTTTAAGAAGGAAGGGGGGTGGGGAAACAAATATGGACAATTAAAAACAAAAGAAAATAAACTTTATGGACGTATAATACAGTTTCATTTGAAATCTATACAGCTGCCACAGAAGCATGTGGTCCAATAGATTTGTAAGTTTACAAAGAAAATTACTTTGCAAAGAAAAAAAATCATTTATTTTTGATGCTGCTTACATTCAAGAGCTCATCTTGTAACGTTGGTTGAAAGCAGATGCTAAACTATAGAAATTAACTGACGATTGCATTTCAGAAAGCAATGAGATCCGACTTCTCTATTACGTTTACTGTTAAGGGAACATAAAGAAGCAGAGCATTTCTTCCACTAGCAAAGCAAATGGTTCATCTGTGCGCAAGAAGAGCGAGATCAAAAGTTGGTATGGGGAATTCACTGTGGTGGAAGGAATAATTGGCTCACAGGTACACAAGTTCAATTTTCCACATCCTAAATTGGAAAGGATCTCACAGGCTTTAGGAATTTCATGTGTTTTGTATGTTTTCTTTTATTTTGTTTGTTTGCTTTGGTAATTTTATTTTTATTTTAATCCAGTTTTGAAGACATCCAAAAATCAATTTCAGCCTAAGTATGAGGAAAGGAGAAATCAGTCTCTCAGAGGTTCGCAATCTTGAATTTCCACTGTGAAAGTTAATCGGTCTGGTCTCTGAGGTCAGATCTGAAGGGCAAGGGTCCATTCAGAGCCAGCCCTGGAGTCTGAGTAGAACAGAGCCTTTGAGCACTGCTAGCATTGTGGGTTAGTCACGTCATTCTGTTATTTCTATATATATACTTTTAAAATAAACTCTGAGCCTTTATGAAACTCAGACAGAGCATTAAAAAGGAATGAATCCCCTCATCATCACTATTGGTCAGCAGTAAAGGGAAAAATAAGGTAAGGGTGAAATTTTTTTCAGGCTTTTTATCTTAGAGACTAACTACACTCTACATCATTTTTTGGCTTCTTCGCCATCTTTAGGAAGGAGAACTATTCCTCAAGTAGAGAGTATGAGGAATTTACACAAGTCAGGCACCATGATAAACAACTGTCATTGAGTTGATGCCAACTTCAGACTCATCTTTCTTTTGCCGAGTGGCTGGCTGGTGGGTTTGAACTGCTGACCTTGATATTATTAGTCCAGTGATTACCACAGTGCCACCAGAGCTCCAGAGACCTATCAAAAACAAAACAAAACAACAGCAAAAAACTCACAACCATCAAGGCAATTCTGACTCATAGCGGCATGTGGAGTAAAACAAAAACAAAAACAAAGCAAAAACCCTGTCCCTTGGGGTTTCTAAGGTTTTAAATCTTTTTAGGAGCAGAATTCCCCCTTTTCTTCCAAAGAGGAAGCAGTTGGTGGGTATGAATTATTGACCTTGTGGTTATTAATCTGCCATTGAGTTAATTTCTGATTCATAGTGACACTTTGGGCAGAATAGAGCTGGCCCTGTGGGTTTCTGAAACCAAATCTTGATGGGAGTTGAAAGCCAGGTTTTTCTCTAGAGGAGAGACAGCCTACTGGTTTCACACTGCTGACCCCTTGGTTCGCAGCTCAACAGGCACTCTCGAATTACAAATGATAATGGCTCGTTTGCTTGCTGCGCAGATGGTATAAACCCGGAAAGTTTGACAGTACTCATCATCAAACCGATCTCTGCACTATTCTCTGGACATCATCTCCCAGTCGAATGAGCTTGTTAGGGAGCTTTTTCCTCTGTGCTAGGTACTATTGTTTCCTTTTTCTTTTACTACATCCACCCAAGGGGACAGATCCTAGTATTCCTATTTTACAATGGGAAATTGATGATTAGTTATAGCAGTTACCTAATCTCCTGTCAATTTAGGAAGGGGTGGAGTCTACCCTGTCAATCGGGCTGCAACTTAATGGCTTCATTTGGAGGCTCTCTGGAGATAAATAGCTGACTGGAGGCCAGATACACACAGACTCTCTCTGCTTCCATCTTCCTGGTAACAAGACTCATGGAGCTACTCTAGGACCCTTGAGCTGGAGGAGCCACGTGGAGACCCTGGACAGTACCGAGATGCTTACACCACTGGATCCACAAGACTTTCCACCCATTGACTGTGATCTCCCTGCATTCGGTGTCATTCCATATGTTGTATGAGTATGAAGAGGAATTTATAGATTGGTACCAGATATATGGAGTAATATCAGACTAACACATTAGTCACATCCATAAATTGGACAAAACTATAGTATTTGAAAAATATCTGGTATAGTCAAATTCCAAACACAGATAGGTCTTATACTAAAGGTCACATTATTGTCACGAGAATGATAGTGAGGCTGGATAACATTTTAAATTATTAACCATTGTGTTCCAATTTTACTCTTCCACCCAATCCACTTCCTTCAACCATGATTCACATCCAGCCCAAGCTATAAGACAGGCTGAGTTTATTGATCTCAAGGCCAGAAAGTGAGAAAGGAAAAACAAAGGGAAATAAATACACCCATCATCATTTGGCAAGTTTCAAAATAGCCTTCCAAATTCTAGACAAAAAAGGACCAGGTGAAGTAAAAAGACTTTTGAGTCATGAGAGTCAAGGTCTTTGAGTTGAGACTTTGCCCTACACCATAAAGAGAAAACTGGTCTCACTTACACTAGGGAATATATTTTCTGTTCTTGGGTTACTGAGGGAAGAGGAGCAGTGAGAGACACAGATAAGACCTCTCACAAGCGTTTGTGAAAAGAAGCTCTTGATCTTGTTATATCAACTTTCCCATCCTTCTCGGGTCAAACACAGAGTCATGGGGCAGTAGAAATCTTATACCTCATTCCAAAATAGGCTAAGTATTTGAAGGAAAAGGAAGCTGGTTTGTGACATTCAACCAAAAATCCTGGGAACTGACAAGAGTCTAGAATTTTCCTTCTTACTGTGGCATTAGAGAGAAGCTGTGTGTGCGCTGGGCTGATCGCCCCGAACCAGACTTATGTAGGAACTAGTCGAGTTTTTTCCAAAAGACATGATAGAAGCCTGAGGCCTGAAAGACTTGGAAGGCCATTCAGACAGGATGAAGGATGCTTCGGAGCCCATTTGACATTATCCACATGGAAGTAGACGGCAGATGTTAGATTAGACAGAGGCTGGTCAATGACCTTTCATTGATGCCATGATACTAGATAAGAACCAAAAGTCACTGCCATTGAGTCTGTACCAACTCATCGAACGCTACCGGATAGGGTAGAATTGCTCCTGTGGTTTCCCAAGACTGTAACTCTTTTCAGGAGTAGAAAGCCCATCTGTTTCCAAGGATCTGCTGGTGGTTCCGCAGTTAGGTGAACTCGTAGCCACTCAGCTGGCAGGGCCACTGCTCCGAGATTCGCCCTTTGGAATGTGTGTATGAGTTGGCACCGACTCGGTGGCAAAGAGTTGACTGACAGGTGGAATAAGGTCTTAAGATAGAAACTAACTCCATTAAAACAATTGCTTTTATTTGCACACTTCGCACATGGATTTCATAGTTATTCCCACCATTTTTAAACTAACTCCATTAAAACAATTGCTTTTATTTGCACACTTCGCACATGGATTTCATAGTTATTCCCGCCATTTTTTAGTGGTATAATTATATTTATTTCCTCCCATGGGGTCAATTCATTCATTTTTATGAAAACAAATCTCTAATGTAAGGAGATAGAGAATGGAAACAAAATAGAATTTCCAAACTCATGTACCTCAGAGAAAGATATTATCTATGCTGTGGTAGTTACATAATCTGGCATCAATTGGGGATTTGAGACGATTAAGAGTGAAGGGGTGGAGTATAGTCTGTCAATTGGGTTATAGCCAATGAGGCCTCTGTGTGAGCTTGGCCTTCCCCTGAGGATTCTGGGAATTCCTGTCTTTTCTCCTTGGAGGCGGGAGACACTCTCTCTCAGCTCACTCCTTGAGAGACATGACACTATGCTGATAGACCCTGTGCCCTGAAAATTAGAGGAGCCACATGGAGACTCCTGCCAGCACTGAGATGCTTCTACTGCCACTGGATCCCCAAGACTTTGCACCCACTGGCCTCTGTGATCTTGCTGCATTTGGCGTCATTGCATGTGTTCCATGAGTCACAAGAGGATTTTATACATTGGTATCTGATATGTGGGCTAATATAAGACTTATAGACTTGATCTGGACTGGGCATGGTGTTTTCTCAATATTCAATTGCTCTTGTATATAAACCTCTTTCTTATATACATATGAGTCTCCCTGGATTGGTTTCATGCCCATGAAACTATTCATTTCGTTATGGTAACTTAAAAGTCCTACTGTAGTCTCCTTCTCCCTTTACCTCTATTCAAGAATGTTCAACATCCTGCCACAAAGCTGGTAAACCAAGCTAGTTTTTGTGACTTACGTCAAAGTCGAACTTTGCGCCACAGGGTTTGCAATGGCTAATTTGGGGAAACTAGATTGCCAGCCCTTTTTCTGAGGGGGCGCTGGATCGATTCTAATCTCCACTCATTTATTTAGCAGCCTGAAGTATTAACCACTTCCACCACCCAAGGACTCCTGGAAAAGGCAAGTCTAAAGCCCAAACTCATTGTCAGAGCACCGATGCGGACTCAACATGGCCCTATTGCACAAGGGAGAATGTCTGTGTGGGCTTCCAAGTCTAACTCCTCTGGGGAGTAGAAAGCCTCATCTTTTTCCCTAAGATCTGCTAGTTGTTTCGAACTATTGACCTGTGGTTAACGACCCATTGCATAACCACTATGTTACCGGGCTCCTTTTAAGAATGACAAACCAGTACTTAGTAAAAACATAATCACTTTTTTAAATGAATAATTAAATGAATGAATGCACACATATATGTTTTTAAAATAAATCAACAAGATAATCTAGACAAAGGTAATTTTATTTCCTTTTGAAATTCCTTTTGATTTTATATTTCTGTGTTAACAGAATAGAGTCGACTCACTTCTCTGTGGGGTTCTGAATGAGTAGGGTTCTCACTACCAGCCTTCAACACAGGAGAATACGATGCTCTATAGAGCAGACACATAAACAGTAATGAGTTCCCCTTTTGATTATTCCAAACAGAATCCTGATCCTTATTTTCTAGATGACTGTCCTCAGTGGGGGACAGGGTAAGGGAATCCCTCCTTTTATTTTCTCTGGGGAAAAGGTCCGTCTTTTAACTACTTTGGTAGAGAATTGACTCTAAAGTCTTATCCCTGACACTTTTCAGGAAACTCAGAACCGCAGTTCCGCCTGTGCCTCTGTCTTCTAAAGCTCGAGGTGGCCCTGGGAGATGGCTTTTCCTCCTGACCTTTGCTTTAGCTGTGGCTGAGATAAGGTATTTGGTCACTACAGCAACGTGATAGCTTCGAAGCTTTGCTAGGGCCTCAACACATTGGTTATAGGCTGTACAAAGTTGGCTATTTCCCGAGGATAGGATGTATTCTCTCAGCGAAGGAGCGGAGTGGATTTCTTCTAGGAAGGCCTTGTGGTAGGGAGGCATGTAGTCTCTCATGCGGTGCAGAAAGTCAGCTGAAAGAAGCAATTCAAAACAATATCATAGTTTCAAATGGAAATGCAGCCAAGTCTTTATTACATTGCCAGATACTAGTGTAGTGGACACTGTGGGTGCTGTCTTCACTGACCGCTCTATTGCTGACATTTTGATTTGTAGAGCTCAAATATTCGCATGCACTTTTTTGATTGTTGACAGGAGATGGGGATGATGAAAAGAAGCAACCCCATCTCAGATAGGCAGTTGACTTGAAACTAGAGCTATACATCCATCTTTCCATATGTCCTTTGCATTTCATGTGAAAGGAAATCCATAAATGTAAGGCATAACCAACAAAATTATCTGTCCAATGATATTTTTATTATCTTTTTAATTCTTATTGATTTCTTATTAATTTGCACATGCAGCCTTCTGTGGAGTTACGCCTCAGAATGACTTGACCTGATTCATTAAATACTCTGGTGAATCTTATTTCCTAAATAATTTTCTTGGGAGATAATGATTATGAAGAGGAAATTTAGAACATTTAGAGGGTAATTAAGGAAAAAAGGTAAACTATTAATAACCTTTAGGAATAACATTTTAAAAATGTAAATCTATTCATATGTATTGGAAAGCCATGTTGTTATTATCACACATGGTGAATCAATAAGTCACTTTACGCAATGTAGACTTCCGTGAACAATTCTGTTTTGGAGAACTGATTTTTGTGGACAAGACTGAACTCTCTGCTACCAACTTTTAGTATTTTTAAAATTCTCATCCAATTTGGAAATTCTAGCTTGGAGTGGCTATCTGCAGCTGAGGGACACGTGACTCGCTGCTGGCAGATCA